AATAATAATAATAATAATAATAATAATAATAATAATATTCAAACAGATGGACCCAACACAGAGATTTGAGGGGAAAGGCATAACATTGAAGGCAAGGCTGAAAGTACAGAGTTCCTAACTGAAACAGGGAGAAGGATACAGACTGAATTGCAAGCCAAACTATGCCTGGGGTTCAGGCAAACAGCTTGACAAAAACCCAAATATTTCTGTTTTTCCAGTTCTCGGATCTTCCGTCAGGAATCTTGGCTTTGGGAGCTGGCACTTGCGATTCCTCTGTTACCTTTGCTGTAACAACTGCAGTCAAAACAGTTGTGCAAGAACAAAAGTGACTGGCAAGGAGAAGGGTTTTTAAATAGCTAAAAGCATCCTGGCCGCCCGGGCGAATTCTATCAAGCAGAGGTGACTCTTTTGTTTGGTTAGGATTGCGGCCTTTTGTTGTTGTTGTTGTTTTAGATTGAAGGAAGAAGGGTCAAACACAACGTGGAGCCCAGCTAAGGGCTTAAGACCTTACAAGGGAATTCTGGCAGGTCAATCACAGATCTTTAAGAGGGAGACAAGCCTTCCATGGAACACTTGAAACCTCTTGTAGAGTTGGTGGAGTGAGTCACCCAAGGCAAGCAAGTCATCTCCTAACCAGGGAACTAGAAATTAAGTCACGAGGAGAGGATGGGCGAAAGAAAAATTCAAGCCACCCCCCCGCTCTAAAATGAGAGGAAATCGTATACTTCCTGTCTGAGGTCCACAATCTGTCAATTATACCCATGCTAACCCAAAATAACACAACAATAATAATAGTAATAATAATGATGATATGATGATGATGAAACAACAACATCTGCCTGTCCCAAGTCCTTGGGAAGGACTCAATAGTTTGATAACAACATCAAATCCAGTCTAAACATCTGGCTGACTGTGCCGCCAACTGTAATAATAATAATATACTTATCAGGCATATACTTTGTAAAAAAAATGCCTACAATAAATATATTAGCTTGCGGTGCCTTGTCACGACAAATCAGACAAAGATACAGTTGGGACAGCTCCAACATGGAGCGCTCTGATTTTCTTTAATCTTCAGTTTAAGATACTAAACTCAGAAAACTCTGCTGGGAAAGCCTTTGGCCTCAACCTTGGAGAAGCCAAACGTCTTCAGCAATGAGTAGATGGGCCTTCCATACAAGGCAGATTCATGTGTCCTTGAATTTAAGAAGCTGCCTTCGAAACCTTTGTGAACCCGGGAGAAGTTCATGACCTCCACTCACACCCATTTCCCCTCTCTCAATCTATTTTTCCAGCCCTAGAACTAACAGAACAAAACAACAGAGTTTAGAGGGACCTTAGAGGTCTTCTAGTCCACCCCCGCTTAAGCATGAATCCTAGACCATTTCAGTCAAATGGCTATCCAATCTCTTCTTGAAAACCTCTCATGTTGGAGCACCCACAACTTCTGGAGGCAGGTTGTTCCACTGATTAATTGTTCTAACTGTCAGGAAGTTTCTCCTTAGTTCTAGGTTGTTTCTCTCCTTGATTAGTTTCTGATTAGGTTCTGCTTCCTGTCCTGGCTTCAGGTGCTTGAGAACAGGTTGACCCCCTCCTCTTCTGTGTGGCAGCCCCTGAGATATTGGAACACTGCTATCATGTCACCCCTAGTCCTTCTTTTCATTAAAGAAGACACGCCCAATTCCTGGAATGGAGGGGAAAACCTTCAGGGGAGGGCTCATATTGCAACAGCCCCTTCTCAGTTTTGCTCTTCTGAACGCACTGTACGCAAAGTGGCTTACTACAATGCCCGGCGTCAAACAATGAGACATAGAAACAGATCGACACGGAATGAAATGAACGATTTAGTCCACTAAACACCCATTATCCATCACATTTCTATTTAAAGAACCATCTCAGAAGCAGCGTCACGATAAACTTCATTATAAAAGGAAATATAAGGGACCGAAGAGGCAGGAGGGGAATGTCTGCCTACGGCAACAATACAGTTTAAAGCCAGCTTTCAGTAGACCCCAAAGAGAACCGGCATTAAAAAAGGGCGGGGAGGATGAACTCTTTTAAGAATTGATGAAGGGGGGGGGAGCACAAAACACTGCTTCCCTAGGAGGTTCCCCACATGCACCCTCCCCCCTCCAAGCAATTAAGTCTCAGAGATCAGGCAAAGACATTCAGCTTAATGGAAGCATGTTAATGAAAACCATCAGCGCCTTTCCATTATCAAGTACATTTCGCCAACATGCGAAGAATTTCCCTGGGGGGGGTGTCTCCCACAATTTAAACCACTCATGGGAATAACATCACAGAGATCTCATTATCCTTTTATTGCAAAGGAGTAATTTGTTCGGGCTTAATGTCAGGGTGTCATTTATCATACATCGGAAGAGAAACTCCAGATATGATGGCTGCTTTCGTGGTCCTGAAGAGGAGATTCAGGGACACGTGAACTGACTTGGCAGTGTGGAAAGAACTGCATTGTGTCCTTAGGACAAGCCTGGGTTCTGAGGTTGCAGGAATTACCTGAATCCTGACAGGACTGATAGAGGAGAAGGTTTGTGGCTCAGGGTTGAAATCAGAGGCCCTTGGTGTGCTCTGAGCTTGGTGCTTTTCTTGCAGGTGTTTCATTCCCCAGCTAGCTAACATCATCAGTGCTAGAATGGAATGGAGTTTGTGGAGAGGAGGAGGAGGAGGAGGAGGAGGAGGTGGAGGAGGTGGAGGAGGAGGAGGAGGGGTCCTTGCGCTCTCTGAGTGGGTTGTTTTCCTGCAGAAGTTTCATAACCCAACTAGGTAACTACAGCACTGATGATGTTACCTAGTTTGATAATGAAAGGTCCACAAGAAAATAACCAAACTCAGACACCACTAAGGACCTCTCAATCCAGACAGTATCAGTAGAGCTTTAAGATCCATGGAAAGAAAACGATGAAACAAAAATATATTTTTTTCCAGTTAAGTGTATTCGGACATTTTCATAATCTCCCTTTTTCGTGTCATTCAACTCACCTGATCAGTTCAGCTGCTATTCTTCACAAGCCTGGTCTAAACCACATGCTAACTCACGGCATGATTTTTGGCGTGGGGTCCTGTATATATCGCATGGCTTATACCTTAGTGTGTTGTGTGAATTCGGTTCGTTGGGTGTCATTCATTATGCTCTAGTTAAGCAAAGCTGGGCTAGCACAATATGTGAACTGGGCCATTGTAGATGATAGATGTTCTTAATCCAAACAATTCAAGCACTTGCTCAGGGCAATGCTTTTAGGACTAACAGGGACCCTGTTTCTGCCACAGCAGATTGATGTGGTATGAAAACTCACACCTTATAAACATCTCTTCTCCGATGGGGAATGAGATTAGTGAAGTTTGCAAAAGCTCCTTATTTATGTTGGCGATGGAAACAGACCCATTTGCTGTTTGGAGAACGGCTGTAACTTGTGACAATGAATTCTAGCTAGATAAAGGAACAACTATCAACGCTTGGCACGGTCGTTTAATATACTTGTTTTAAAAAATATTCTTTCGGAAAAATGGAATTAATAGGACTGAGAATCCCAAACAAGATTCTTAAATCCTAAGAATAATTGTAGAATGCATTGCCTAGAACCCTGTTTTTTCATTTTGCTTCGTGACAAATTATCCTCTGGTTGCAATGCTCCTGGTTGATTTAGGACTGTTCGGAGTGCAGCACTCCCAAACCAGGAATGTAAACCCAATTCTGTTTTAAATAGTTATGCAGTGCCTCTAAGGGCCACCCAGCACTTTCAAGGCTGCTCAAAAGGATTATAATAATAAATGTACTAGAAAATGCGGCACTGGTATAATATGGCATGTACTATGCAAAGAGTAACAAGTTTTTAAACACTTGAGCCAGGATTTCTAAGATGAAGGGGCCGCCATTAAAAAGACATTGTTTTTTGTGCTTGCTAGGCCAAGGAATAAGCTTTACGGCCAGTCAAGTGTCAAGCGTGGGAAAATCAGAAATCCAGGCAGTTCAAATGTATATTAAGGATTTACTGCCAGCTTAAGCTGCCTATAAGAATCTGAACTACTAACGGGCAAAGCAAATTGGCGGCAGATAAGAGTTGACGGCATTCAAGGTGGGCTGGGCTGAGATCTCTTGTGGGCGCGAAGGGATTCAAGACTGATGACATATTTGACTTCTCCCTCCCTCGGCTTAGCCTGCTCATCTGCTACACCCAGTTTGCGGAAAATGATACTATTGGGAAGAGCCTTTTAGCCATGCTACTCTGTGGGGAATGGACAAGCTCCAGCAACTGTGATCCCAGTACCAGCTGCTGAGAAATTCCAGAGGAATAACAAGGTTGCATGGCATCACCACCACCCATTCCCTAGGGTAGGTTACTTAATACAGCAACCCAATGGATCCCGATCACCAGAGCTGCAAAAGACCAGTTAGAAATGAAAAGAGATCTTGATACTTGGGATACCAAAACAGGGAGGAGGGGGGGTGTTCTCTCCTTGGCTTAGCATCACACAATCCCAACAATGTTTTCTCTTAAGGTTTGAGACTAGATTTTGCAGAATCTTAACCAACTGGTCCAGCAAGGGACAGGACTGAGGTTAC